CTCCTCCTCCTCCTCCTCCTTCCTCCTCCTCCTCCTCTCCTTCCTCTCCTCCTCCCCCTTCTTTTCCTTTTGCTTTTCCTCCTGCACAAGGGAATTAATAATACTCCCCCTTCCTCTGAAAAATCTCGTTACCCCTATCCTATTAAAGCTTGCATCTGTTTAGCCTTAAAATTGACACGAGATTGAGGTGATCCTTGTAGTCTGACCTCTGCTAGGTATTCCCAGACCAGGTTATCATTTCCATCTTCTCCAAGGACCTGTGAGCACCCGCTGTACTCTCATTATGCCTCTGACAAGTGGGAAAAAAACAACAGAGGCGGCAATGTAAGTGGCGGCCCCTTTGAAACTTGTTTTCATGCAAAGCTAGTATTTTACAAAATTTAAATTGATTTTCCCCCAAATCATACCATATATTTTTTTTAAGCTTTCATTAAATCTGTTCTACTCCACCTCTGGGAACATTCAAAAGTACTCTCAATTGCTAAGTCTTTTTGATGCAGTGACATTTCGTCTGAAGTTAGTGACTTTTAGGGGACAGGATCATTTCAAATGCTCAGTAAGGAAGGCTGTAATCTGGGCAGAATAACTGTATCATTTTCTCTGGGAAGCCTTAAGTATTTAACAAATCACACCACTTTTAAAATTTAATTTGAATTTGTTTTTAATGCCTACGATTGATGTGCGATCTTACTGTTCTTTAATTTTTCCCTCCCTTCCCCTTCCATTCCTTTCTTTCCCCCCCTCATTTCTTCTCTTTTTCCATATACCCAGTCATCGTTCTCTCTTCTTGGTGTCAGTATGCCCTCACACTCCAGGAATACAATTTATTTTTTAAACGGAGTATGATGTACTAAAAATGCAAAGGTGAACTCTTGGTTTAAAGTCTGGTAGTCGGATCCAGCCTTGTTAAATTAGGATCTTACTACTATTTGAGTTCTTATTTTTTACATGTTACTCCTGAGGCCCCTATTGTGTTATTATTTAAATATCTCGTAGAGAACTATTAAAGATATCTTAAAAAGTTGGGAGAAGAGAAAAATTCAATTAGATAAGTAAGCATTGAATGTTTTCTATTGTAACAGATACAACAGAAACAGATGAAAAGAAGGTTTTGGAAAGAGCTGCAGTGTGGGGGGTGGGGGGAGATGCAGCTAACCAGGGTACAAGAGGTGATCAAATTACGTCATTAATGTTTACATTTTAAAAATTTATCACAGTGAAGACATCACACTACCGCTCCTCCCAATACAACCTTTGCATCAAACATCCTTATCCTATCATTTTTGCCACTTTCTGAAGCAGTTCTGAAAGTCCTCTTCCGTGAGTGTCTTCAGGAGGTGTGATGAAAAATATAGCGAATGCTTCTGCCAAGCCATCCAACAGAAAGGCAGGCTTGTAAACATGTTATGCTATGTCCTCATCCACCGTCTTCCTTGTACCTGGCACCATGAGACTTTTGTATCTTCCCCAAAGTCAAAATAACCATGAAAAGTAAATGTTTTTGATCAGCTCAGGACATCCAAGTAGCCACAGCAGTGTAATTAAAGACACCCATGAAAGAGGACTTTCTACAGCTGCTTCAGAAAGTGACAAGAATAAAGGGATAAATGTGTTGGAATCCAGGGGATGTTCTCAGGGCAATGAGTGGCAGTATGTCTTACTGTAAGAAATTTTAAAAATCCAAACATTCATTGCCTGTTTCAATCATACCTTGTATATTGGGTAGGTATATATGTACATGTGTCATGTGTCATAATTGTGTGGTAATTGTGAGGTGCCAGAATGTTGGCGTGCCAAGGAATGGAAAAATTAAGATCTGACTCTGGCAAAGACTTCACAAACAGCTGGAAGGATGATGCATCTCTTAAGAGGTGCATGGTGGGAGAGTGGAGACCTATTCTCTGAAGGTGGATATGGTCAGAAGCCACAGTGATGAAAGCTAGAAATTGTAAGATAGTCTTTAGAGGGAAATTTGGATGCTATTTTACGGAGTTGTGCTACAGGGATGGGGAAGTATTATTTGACCTCAAGATGTAAGAAGAAACTGAGTAACACATTTTGGGTCAGAGTGAGGGATGGAGTGACAGAGGGATGAAAGGGCTTTGGACTTGGTTGCCAGTTTATTCAGTTTTCTTATATGAAGATTTTAGAATAAACTAGTATGCGATTTTTCCCCTCTTACTCCTTCCAAATTGGTGATTTTCTCTGTACTTTTGAGAAATTCAATTTAGTAAAAAATTGTTGATGTTACTGTGTTATATCTGGGCCTTCTGGGGCCTTTTGAGCATGTGTGTTGAACTCATTCTGCGGCCACAGAGCTG